ATATTCGGTGTAAAGAATAACTGGTTGTTTACAAAAGCATTTTCATATTGGTAAAGTCATCTGCAACTTTTGTGAAGCATCAAAACACTGGCATATTAACTATCAAAACATGTTCATGACTGCTGAAATGTATTATTGCTTTAAAAAAAAAAGTCACATATTTTGCATTTCTATTATACACAATTTGTACTAAAGCGATCTAAAAAGTTCATATCAATAAGTTTTCTCTTTGCACCACCAGGTGGCAGTCTTTGTACTTTCATTTCGAGGGTGCAGATTGCATAAGTTTTGTTAATATGTATAACTTTAGTTATTTTATTAATTACTATAACTTTATATATATAGTTAAAAAATATGTACCATTTTCCCAAGTGTATATAACTACAACTGTAAGAAAAAAATCAGAATTCGGAACATACTTTCTGTATTATATTTGCTTGAACTGAGCCGATCTAATCCTGTTTATATGATTTGAACCTGCTCCCGACCAGGTTTGACCTAGCAGAACTGTTGCTATGACAACAACTCTCGGATCAGCTTTGAAGAACGAAACGATCCTGGATCGTGTCAAATCGTCAATATCCAAATCCAGCTAACTGAGTAATCCACGTACGAAGAACGGACCCCTGTGTGTCACGTTAGGTGTGATCAAAACAATAACAAAAACGGGAACAAAAGATATCGGATTCAAGTGCAGATTTTAATATATTAAAGTGCAAAAACAGTGAACAAAAATCAAAAAATATCAAAGTGCAAAGTAACAAATAAACAACAAAACAAGAAACTAAGACTGATAAACATGAACAACACTATAGCAAGATACAAGGCGAGATCAGGAACAACAACTAGGAAAAACAGACTTACTGGGTACAAGAAAGACAAACGACGCGATGCAAAACAGAGGTGAAATGGTTGTATAGATAGTCCAGATAATCAATGGTAACACAGAACAGATGAGATGACGGGTCAGTGTAAGTGTTCCGGTGTATGCGCATGGTATGTATGGGATTGTAGTTTTTCTGGGACGCTGTAGTGCTAACTGAGTCCTGATGCACTACAGCGCCCTCAGGTGGTCACTGATGGATGTGACACTGTGTGTTTCCTGAGAATAGCAATTCAGTGCGGATAAAAAACATTTCTCATTTAACATGCATTTCTAAATTGGAGACAAACAACTATTAAATGGAAAGTGTACTAACAAATAAAGAGGATAATGCAGCTTTAAAACAAAACCAGAATCAATACCTGCAGATTTTTTTTGTGTTCACTTTTAATGGTGAAATTTTTGTTATTTAGACCTGCAGGTGGAGACACAGCGGATTGTTGTAGTGGGAAATTCAGTGACTCTGAGCTGTAAAAGCAGCTGCTCTCTGCCTGAAGAAACTACATTCATCTGGTACAGAAACACAAAGAGATTAACTGGAGAAACACTGAATAATCAGCTTCACCTGCAGTCAGTCAGTCGCTCTGATGCTGGAGAATATAAATGTGCTGCAAGAGGAAATGAACATCTGAAATCTCCACCTGTTTATGTCAGAGTAGAATGTGAGTCCAAAAAATCATATGTATAGTGAAATAATATTTGAATTTGGAAAAGTTACAATATTGCAGTGTGTTTTAAAGTGTGCCAAGTATTTATGTACAGTGTGCTGTTTCTAAAAGCATCTTTGATTGTTTTCCTTTATGTCTGTGTTTCAGCAGTTGATGGTTGGCTGGATTGGGGAGTGAATTACAGCCCTTCATATGTTTGTGCATTAAAGGGATCAACAGTGAAAATATCCTGTACTTCAACATATTCTGATGATTATAAGCTCACACCAGCCTTCTGGACTAAAACTACTAAAACAGATGGAGAACCACCAGACCTGTGTTCAGACCCTGATAAAGCAGGAAGAGTTCAGTGTGTCAGAGATAAAGACACTTCCAGCATCACTTTGACTGCAGTAACAGAAGCTGATAAACACATCTACTACTGCAGATGTACAGATACACTGAATAAAAGATGGACCGTGCGTCCTGGAGTTCGGCTTTATATTGCAGGTAAAACTAATAACCTCTTAGAAAAAAAATGACAAAGACCCTTATATCCTTATTATTATTATTTAAATTTATTGCATTATCCTTGAAAAAAGGGTTCAGCACTTGATTCAAAGTAAACAGTGATAGAACTGAAACACGACCGTCTGAACTACAGAAAACATCAAGCTTTTTATTTGTAACTGAAGTGATTTAGGTTATTTACTTGATGATGATGTTGTTGTTATTTCTCTGTCAGACCTGCAGGTGGAGACACAGCAGACTGCTGAAGAGGGAGATTCAGTCACTCTGAGCTGTAAAAGCAGCTGCTCTCTGCCTGAAGAAACTACATTCATCTGGTACAGAAACACAGAGAGATTAACTGGAGAAACACTGAATAATCAGCTTCACCTGCAGTCAGTCAGACGCTCTGATGCTGGAGAATATAGATGTGCTGCAAGAGGAAAAACAGGAGAACGTCTGAACTCTACATATTTTTATCTTAATGTACATTGTGAGTATAAACTTATTGACTAATATTAGTTAAATATAGAAAAGTAGAGTATTATACATATATCTGAAATAAATAACACTTTCATTTAGTTAATGTTTGTTTCAAGGCCAGTCATGTAGCAGACATCTCAAGTTGGAAAAAGTAATTTCCGGGGGATACAGAGTTGATTTGAGGGAGGTAGCGGATTAGCGGGTACTCGAAGAGCTGGGGGGGTGGGGGGGTTTGAGTAGTGAGTGACGTATCTGTGAAGGGGGGCGTGTGCGCGCGAGACGTACTTGAAGAGCGGTGGGGGTGAGTTGCGCGCGACGTACCTGAAGAGCTAGTAGGGATGCAGTGGAGAGGGGGGTGTGCAACATATTTAAGGACCGGGCAGGAGACGCGTGATTTCCGGGAGATTATCATTTATTTGCGGGCATCCGGGAGTGTCTAGCATTTCAGGGATACTCCCACAACTTCCGGGAGACTTGGGATGTCTGATGTAGACGGCATGAAAGTTTTGTTTGCTCGAGTTTGAAACTTAATAGTGTAAAATTAAGAAATTGTATGTAAATCAGGGGTATCTGTCTTTGAATCTTGTGCTAAATCAGTAAATCTGCTAATTCGATTGTTTATTTAACAATGCATTAGTTCAGATTTAAATCTATATTATATACTAAAGAATTCATGTAAATACGCATCTAGTATAGAAAGTATCGAGTATTTATTCTCCTTCTAGATTATTTTATTTTTTTATTTTTACTTGTAATTTTAAAATAAAAAAATTGTGCCTTTTTTTTTCAGATCCTCCAAAGAGCGTCTCAGTGTCCGTCAGTGGATCTGCTGTAATAGTGTCTGGAGATTCAGTGACTCTGAGCTGCAGCAGCGACTTAAACCCTCCTGCTGTGAACTTCACCTGGTTAAAAGAAGAAGCATCTGTAGGATCTGGAAGAATCTTCAGCATCTCAAACATCAGCTCTGATCACAGCGGAGAATACAAGTGTAGAGCCAGAAACAGACATGGAGAGAAATACTCTGATCCTGTAACTTTAAATGTCTTGTGTGAGTGTATTATAACACAACAGACTGATCCTTTTTCTGGTCATATTAGTTTACTCGTAATTTTACAATTTTTCAGATCCTCCCAGGAATGTCTCTGCATTTATAAATGGATCTGCTGTAATAGTGTCTGGAGATTCAGTGACTCTGAGCTGCAGCAGCGACTCAAACCCTCCTGCTGAAATCAGCTGGTTAAAAGGAGAAACATCTGTAGGATCTGGAGGAATCTTCAGCATCTCAAACATCAGCTCTGATCACAGTGGAGAATACAAGTGTAGAGCCAGAAATGAGCATGGAGAGAAAAACTCTGATCCTGTAATACTGAATGTCATGTGTGAGTGTATTACAACACACGAGACTGATGCTTTTTCTGGTCATATTAGTTTAACAGCCATTTTAATAATGTTTAACTGGTCTTTGTTAACAAATGAATACATTTATTTTTTTCAGATCCTCCCAGGAATGTCTCAGTATTTCTAAATGGATCTGCTGTAATAGTGTCTGGAGATTCAGTGACTCTGAGCTGCAGCAGCGACTCAAACCCTCCTGCTGAAATCAGCTTTTATAAAGACGAAACATCAGTGGGATCTGGTGAAATCTACAGAATCACCAACATTAAATCTGAGGCCAGTGGAAATTATTCCTGCTCTGCTAAAAACAAACATGGATCTCAGAAATCTGCTGCTGTGACTGTTAATGTCATGTGTGAGTTTATATTTAGTTTTAATAATTTCAGATTGAATTTTGATCAGTTATTTATTATTGTTGTTTCATACATTTATTCTTCTTCAGATCCTCCCAGGAATGTCTCAGTATTTATAAATGGATCTGCTGTAATAGTGTCTGGAGATTCAGTGACTCTGAGCTGCAGCAGCGACTCAAACCCTCCTGCTGTCAAATATATCTGGTTTAAGGAGACTCAAGGCTCAGCTGTTGGATCTGGACAGAGTTTTAGTGCACTAGATAGTGGCCGATACTACTGTGAGGCTGAGAATAAATATGGCTCTCAGAGATCAGAGTCTGTTTCAGTCACTGAAGGTATTTTCTAGAAACAGACACTCTTTCAGTTTCTTCTGTCTCTGCTGTCAAATGATCTTCATCAGCGTCTTGTTTCAGGGGTTCAGAGATCTGCTCTGCTCACACTTACTGGGGTTGTGGCGGGATGTGGAGGATTGATCATCATCATCATCATCATCATTATTGTGTAAAAGGCTCAAATTGAACGTTTCAAAAATGAACATAAATGCAGAACTTACTGAACCTGTTGCTTTATTATAAATGAAATGTTAATAAATTGCTTTTAATTTCTTGATAACAGGAAGAAAAATAGGAGAGACGGTAAAGCTGAAGATACCAGACAAAATCAGGCAAATTTTTTTTTTATTATAGATATAGATATTTTTTATTAAAATTATTTTTTTTAATTCAACTATATTAAAAGCATGACTGTAACTCTGTTTAAATCTGTGATATTTGATTAAACCACAGCAGAATCTCATTAGCAGATCAGCAGAAATGGCTTCAACCAATGACAGTCCTGTGTATTCACTAGTATCAGCCAATCAGAGCGAGGATCTTTATGCCAAAGTTAATTTTAAAGCAAAGAAAGCCAAACGCTCCAGCAGAGCAGAAGCAGGAGATGTGGAGGATCTTCAATACGCCAGTGTTCATTTCTTCAAGAACAAAGACATGAAGACTGAAGAACATCAGAAGATGGAGATGCAGCGTCCGTCTGATGCCAACAGGTGACAAAACATTTATCTCAACCCCAATTAAACACTGATACCCTTATATAACATGTTCAGTGCTTAAAGCAATGCTTCACCCCAACATTAAAATTTGCTGTTGATCTACTTTCCTTCAAGCCGTCCAGTGTGCAAGTAATGTGTTTCTTCAGTAGCACAGTCAATGCTAGTCAGTGGTTAGCATCTATCTGAGAGTCAGAAACCAGCGACTGCAGACACTTTTACTTATTCCAACACTTCAGAGTTTCATCAGGAGCCACAGTTATTAATGTAGCTTTGCCTGTTTTTGTTTCTGACTCTAAATGCTGTTGACTGGAGTTTTAGGAATCAGCAAGTAGCACATTTTTAGCTCAACTCTTCTTTAATGTCCTACAATAATCATCAGCTAATCAACAGCAGGTCTTCATTTGTGGGTGAACTGTCCCTTTAATCAGAGCTCTCCTGTTTGTGTTGTTGAGCTTATGGATTGTCAGCTTCTGGAGAGACTTTCTGAAACGCCACATTAATCTGTGCTCAACTCATTTCTCTGCAGGTGTGAGGACGTGATTTACAGCTCAGTCAAATAAACAACATTGGGTCAATGCCTGTTGATGATCATCAGAGACTGGATGAGTTTTGCTATTTAGATTTTAACAGATTTAATTTTCAACTTTCTGATGTATTAACTTTTGAATTGATTGTCAGTATCGCACGCACACACAGTCTTCTCTCTACAATGACACTGACTTTTTTGCCATTTAATTTTAGCTGCTTTTTACATTAAATACAGCTGTGTCTTCTTTATATTATTGTTAAATATATCAAACCATAAGTTTTAAAGTTAAGTTTTATCTTGCTTTTTAATTTTATATAAGTTTTTGATTGTGACATCCTCATGACAGTTTACCACATTGTACACCAATATCTTATGTAATAATGTTTTATAAAGCTCTACCGTGTTACTTTTGTATGAAAATAAAAGTATTTCAATAGCTGCCATCATCAGATCCATGTTTGTTTTTTCCTTTAATGTATATCACTAGAATACTCTAAACCACAGGTGTCAAACTCAGTTCCAAAAGGGCCGCAGCTCTGCACAATTTAGTTCCAACCCTAATTAAATGCACCTGATCAAACTAATTGAGTCCTTCAGGCTTGTTTGAAACCTACAGTTAAGTGTGTTGGAGCAGGGTTGGAACTAAAATGTGCAGGGCTTCGGCCCTTTTGGAACTGAGTTTGACACCCCTGCTCTAAAACAACAATTATTAGGTTCACAAAGCAAATTAGGGTCATAAAGAGCATTTCCAGCATATGGATGTGACATTTGCAGTAACAACTCAAAACATATTTACATAGAAAGTATAAGTTAACATTATATTGCAACTTCTGTTTATATTTTCCAGAACAACTGACCACAGAGTTATGGGACCAGGAAAATATTAATCAGCAAACAAACATGTTTTGAACTTTTAAATGAGGAAAATAAACATATGTTATGGATGTGACCAAAAAGTCTGCGAGTTTACAGTATACAACATACTCAGTATACAAATATTCTGTGAATTAAACTGCACAACCCCAAAGACACAATATTAATCAAAAGGATAAGAGATGCTCTCTATAGAACAAAAATTATAGATTTTAATTTATTTAATATTTTTGCAAAATCCATTGGGGTCTCTGCGCAGGTGAACCGAATCGACTAAATTGGCTGTAGGTTATGTGTCTGTGAATGAGAGTTTATGGATGTATCCTAGTGATGGGTTGCAGCTGGAAGGGCATCCACTGTGTAAAACATATGCAGGATACGTTGGCGGTTGATTTCGCTTTGGCAACCCCTAATTAATAAAGGGACTAAGCCGAAAAGGAGAATTAATGAATAATATTTTTGCGTTCATATAAAAAAAGTGCTGTTATGGATGTGACAGATGTGAAATTGCTACTTGTGTGACTTTGGTAAATCAAAGATAATAGTTTGTAAACACTGACAGATGCATTTTTGAGTATTTCTAAAGTACTGTAAAATACTTACTTAAACAAAAAACTTTCTATATTTGGTGAAAACTTTTGCATTTGCATGGAATTCTTTTAAAACAGCATCTACACTGGCATTGAATCTCATTGAGTCTTTTCTTATTTCCATCCAGCATCTGTCATTGATTGGAAGAACAGCCAGCAACCTGTTTATGCATAAAGGAATATTTTACCCATATATATAATTGGCCATTATTTTTAAGAAATGAAAGAAGAGAGGACACAGAGCACCTTGAAGACTATGGAATTAGGTGGACTGAGACAAAGTAAATTACAGCTTTAGCATTTAAAAAAAACTGTGAAATTTATATATGCAACAATGTTGTGTGATTACTCATTATACAAGTAAATTTCTGGTGTTCATTATGTTTTTTTTTTCCTAATCTCATATTTATTTTATTTTAGTCAATTTCCCCCACTAGGCGGAGCTGAACATTTAGAGCGCGTGATTGACAGTTGATGGAAAGCGCGCGAATTTATCCTCTTCAGCTCACCGTGAGGAAAGTGAGACCTGTAGTCTAACGTTTTTCGCTTAAAATGTGCAGTTTTAAACTCCGCAAACACCAATATTATTTTAAAAAACGTTTTATAACATTCTTAAGTACTTGCTTGTCGAGTTTCACCATGGAAAGATGAATAATTTGACTGTTATGTCAAATGGAAAATGTTAAGGTAAGTTACGTTAGCTATAATAACGTCAGCGTTACTGTAACTGACAGAGCCAGACAACAGGGTGTCTTTTTTTGTATTTTAAATTAAATATATTACAATTTTGTTTGTATTTTAGATCAGTTTATCCATTGTGCCTCAGAAAGCTGTCGAGTAAATTAGTTTTGTCAGGATTTTCCTGTGGGATTTTTTTGTTGATGTATTTTTAAACCTTTGCTTAATTTTTAAGTATTTACTTTAAATAAAAACTCAATTAAATTCCCATAGGGCAACACAATCTACTTGGTTTTGATGTATACGTTAGTTATAATGTGTTTTTAGAAAAAATCAAAGAGCTTGTTACAATGCTTAAATATAAGAATTTTTTTTATATTGCTGTACAAATAACCTGAACATAATTGTATTCACTATTCAGACTCCAATCATCATATTTAAATGTCTTAAGGGTTAAATTTGTCTTCTTTTGTCCATATTTCTTGCAGTTGCGGCTGGATTTGGGCTGTTTTTTATCGTCAACCTGATGCAGAAAAGGTCAGTGAGCTAAATTTACATTGAAAAACAAGCTTTTTACAAAAATAAATGCATCTGACCACTACAGCGTGTCTACTATTACTAAAATGTAAATCCTACCTTAAACCTGTAGTGGATATTTTCCGATAAAAGCACGTATGTGTACTGTATTACATGTTACATTTTATCCACAGATATTTAACAATAGTAAAGTTTTGCTGCATAGACAGTTTTAATGTCTATACTGGTCTCATATTTCAATTCAATAGATATCTTTATTTTAACAACAGAAAGAAGATAAACACTCATCACAGAACCGACAGTCATTTAATTGTGCAGATAAAGGTAAGTCAAAGTTAAATTACTTCAGGTTTATTGACTGTAGAGGTGTATAAAACAAACCAGAAAAGTATATACATTGTAAACAGCATAAAGCATATTTTTTGTTAACACATTTGTTAAATTTAAATGTATCTAGTACAATGATTATTTAGTAATGTCAGAATTCCTAAAACAGTTGATGTAAGCATACATTATTGCATATATATGGAGAGGTAAATGTTTATAAATTGCATCATAATTCAAAATAAAAAACTGTGTCCATTGGGTTTTAAAAGTCTTCATATGACTTACATTTCAAAAACTAATTTTTACCTAAATTCACTTGTAGGTCTTAAAATATTTTACACAGGCCATAATTTCTCCGTGTAACGCTACTTAGGGGTCAACACCCATCCAGTCACCAACAATACATCTCAATCAAACTTTTAACAACACTCTACATCATGAAGACAGATAAATACTGTTTTGTACATAGACCATGTATGGTGCATGAATTTAGTTTATTGGGTTTTCAAAAAATTGTTTAAAGAGAAATGTGCATGTATATATTGTACAATAATTAGAGTTTGATTATATTGCCATATTGTTTATAATATGTGGCTAAACATAAATAATTTAGATTTTTTAAAGGGAAATAAAAAAAAATGTAAAAAGTCTTTAGCATTTAGTCTAGTATCATTCATTCATTTTCTTGTCGGCTTAGTCCCTTTATTAATCCGGGGTCACCACAGCGGAATGAACCGCCAACTTATCCAGCAAGTTTTTACGCAGCGGATGCCCTTCCAGCCGCAACCCATCTCTGGGAAACATTTAGTCTAGTATGTGTCTGAAATTTACATCCTAAAAAGGTTTTAAAAAAGGTCATTGACGTAATGTCGGCTGCACAAACCCTGATAAAAATACTATTTTTGTTTCCTTGAAAGTCTTGGTGCTCATGTAAAGTAGAGTATAGCATGATGATAATAATTTATTTACTACATCTCGGTATGTTCGAAAATGTACAGTTTTGCCATTAAATGTGTTAAGCGGAACACCAAAACCACTGCATGAGGAGCTCAAGGTACATGTAAGTTTGTTCGTTGCTTTTCAAACATTTAAAGAAAAGCTACATACACACACATAAATACAATTTAAATTCTATACATATTATTTCACAAAATAAATTTTCATTTTCCTTATTTGAAAATAAAGGGAAATGGAGATACAACATAAATTTTGATGCATGTGAATTTTGCAGTATTAAGATACTGTTTATACACAGATAATGGTACAATAACAATTGAATGTTTTTATTTAATTAAATTGTAAATATATGCTTTTGCCATACGCTGTGTTCGGAAATGCTGCATGGATTGATGTCCTGATTCATACTTGAAATTAAATTGAGGCTAGAAGTCTGCGTTTTAATAAACATTGCCATAGATAGCATCTTTGTGGCTCGTGTCGAAGTGTATGTTTTGATAAATTGGATCCGATTGCCTCTTCTTCTTCGATATGTCACTGGATTTCTTTACGCAGGCGTAGGCTCTGTCTTCAGGAGCATTCTCGTAAACTCCACTGGCCTAAAGGAAAGACCAATATAGTGTCATTTGATTACTAATTAGATGGTTTATGAGGTTGTTAGATTGTAGATAACATTTTTCCTTCATGCCACTCACCTCCTCGCTCCCATTGTATATCGATCTTGCTGTACTGCTTCCTGACAGAGCAAAATGTTTTTTGTGAAATCTTTTCATTAATTTCATACATAAATACATGCAGTGCTTAGCATAAATGAACACACATCCCCCTTTGAAAATAAATATTTATATGAATTTCTCTGTGAATATAGTCAATATGCTTAGGTGCATTTTAACAAAACAGTTTTATTTAACAGTTATATCCATTAATATAAAGGTTTGGTCTTTAGGAATATAAAGATAATACAGTTAAATTCAAACTTTAGTTATTGGAAAAAATTAATTCTATTTCAATTCTATCCATTAAAATTCATTAATATTTTTATACATTTATTCCATATTTATATGCTATACGTATTCTTTTTTTAACTGTTATCTTTATTTTTTGTTTCAGTTTTGGCTTTGGTACTGACTAATCTAATGTACATGTACAAATAAAATATTGTAAAGCATCCTATAGAAAATGTTGTTTGAAATGTCCACGCACTTGATCTTTTGATTCTCTTTCTGCACTGGCAAACAGTGATCAGTCCCGTTGTACATATGATCACCATGATGACCAGACCAGCACCACCATAGATAATGTAAAGGACAGGCACTGCAAATAGATAAACAGATAAAGAACGTTTAAAAGCTTTAAATCTAGCACTTGTTAATTATACACAGATAACATTCAGGGTCTCATTGTTTATACATGGGGATTAGTGTGTCACAAGAGTTGCTTTCATGCAAAAATTATGGAAAATACAATGCTATTGACTTTCCTGATTTATGACCATACATTCACACGCAGTTATAAAAGTTCTTTTAAACTTTGGGATATATGCAGAAGGAAGTGCATGAATATTTAGTCTTGTTTTTAGTTCAACTATCGTGAAAAATACATAATAAAATAAAATAAATAATTGTTGAAAAAATAAGTCAAAATATAAGATTATTTTGCTTTACCAATAGCAGTTTTTTTATATTGGATTGTAGTTTTAAGTTAACACTCTTTATTTTGGCTTATAGTCCCTGGGATCAATTTGTTTGGTTGTTTGGTGTTCATACAGAAGACAACTTGCCAATTTTCGCCAATTTCCCATAATCAATGTGCAGTGTGAAAAACACATATAGCATGTTTTGACTGAAAATTATTCATACACAGTAATTATATAATCAGAATTCAAAACATTTTAGTTTTAGATCATTTTAGACGTCAAACCTATGCCAAAATAAAGCATTAAAATAGATTTTGAGCATCTTGATCTTGAAGATTTTTCAAAATCTCCACTCTAACCTCTAAACCTAACTCTAACCATAACCAAAGATACACAATGCAAGCATAAAACAAGATTAATAATTATAGTCATAGTAACTGGAAAAATGTAAAAATAATAAAAAAATTTTTTTAAATCACAATAAGTCGCTGTCATATCTAGCGTATTGTATTTGATATTAAACAAATGACTAAAAAAAATTCCTTTAATTAGTGTAATTGAAAATGTAATACCAAATCTGTTAAGTGTTTTTGTACAGTATTTAACTTGGACTGTATGTGTCATCATGCCAGAACTGTATATTTAAATGTTGTTTAAGTCAATGTTTTATCTTTCAGTATTTAAATTTATATGTACCTTTAGTAGAATCATATACAATAATTTTTTGAGGTCAAGTTGCACCATTTTGGTAACATTTGATTAACCTCATGTAGAAAAAAAGATAACAATTTCCATAACATAAGCAAAATGTCAGTGTGTATATAAAGGTATTCTTACTTGCCTGTTAGTATATCATCAGGACCAGTTGCATTGGCAAAACCTTTAAATGAAGCAACACATCAACATTAAGTTAACCCTTAAGGCTAAAAAGTAGACATTGAAGTAAGATGTTTCTTAACCTGTTGACGTCAGAAAGAGGGCAATGGTTTTAGTGGTTGAAGATTCAGAAACTGAGAGTCTTGGTGTGGTCGAGTGTATTTCAGCCCTTGTTTGTAGACTTATTTGTGGTTCCGTTGTCCTAACATGAATCACTTCCTCCGGGACCCAAGTGTTGTCTGTCAATTTTAAAGAAATTTGGCAGACATAACTGCATTTCTGGGGTCAGTTTAATGAACGGTTGTGTTGCCTAAGTATCTCTAACACTATTTGTATTGATATTTAGTACGAAACAATCTTGCAAGATTGCAGCTCTTCATTCAGGGCTTCAGACTGCAACCAAATGGTCACATTTTGCAACTTTTTTTGCTAATGTGATTCAGTTTTTTTAGAAGTCGCACAATTTGTACCATCTGAAGGATGCTTTCTTACTTGAACAACACTACAGTTCATTTGTCTTTTTGGTGTGGGTAATTTGAACAGGCATGAACCCAGCAATCACACTTGGTTGCCCAGTAAAAGTGAACCAAAAGAGTGTATTGAGACCTGCTTGAAGATTTGGTCCCTCTTCATATAAAGTCTGTTGCAGTTTGTTTATAGTAAGAATGTGATCCTATCTCTAACAAATGCAACTGGTTTGCTGTTGCATTATGGGTCGAGGTCAAGTTTGTTGACAGTTTGTCTTGTGTTGTGGAAAAGTTTGCAGTTGTGCAGAGCTTCATAAAAAATGTTCTAATAATGTTTAATCTTGTTCACTTCTGACGTGGAGCTGCCATGGAAGTTTTCTGCTCATTAATTCAGAACAATCATAATGCAATCTTGCAAATGCAAATCTAGCCAAGGAGTGATGTGGATGTTGTCATGTGAATGCATTTTGGTTTGTTTTATTTGTTTCTGACTGGAGGAATCTGTGTGATATGAATAGGAAAGGTGATTGAAAATGATTTTCCCTTAGTTTGGATGAAAGAGACTAATGTGAAAGCAACCTTGGTGTGACTAGGGCTGTCCAATGCTATTCTAGAGCTCCATCATCAGCCCCATCCCAGTGTATCAAAACCAAAAACAGAAATAAACATCTAGTTTTCTGTGCTTAGTTGAATAGTTCACCTGCCAAAAGATGATCGACCATTTACCCTAAATCAATCCTCTGTGAACATGACTTTTTTCTTTTGGTTAAACACAGTTGGAGTAGTAAATACGGGTGTCAAAATTATATGTTTCTTCAGTGCACTGCAATGCAGATGGGGACAGTTCGATATCGGTTCAGTAGATGATAACCGGTTATGTACTGACAAAATTTATCTGATATGTGCGATGTCGCAGTAGAATTACTATAGCGAAGGAGGTGAGGGCAGGTAAATAAAACGCTCCTACTACTTAAAAAGCAGATAATTGTGCACAATTCACTTCTTGTAAGTTTGCTGGACTGTCTTTCACTGACACTGAAGAAGGTACAGCATATGCCTCT